AGAAAATAATAAGATAAGAGTATTTATATATATTTTAGAAAAAAAGTATATTTATTAAAAAATCTAAAATAAATTAATCATCTTTTTTATCACAACAATCTTTTACTGTCGACATCATCGAATTAATATCTTTTCCTGTTATATGAGGACTCTATGATAATTCAATATAACCATTACCAAAATATGAGGAGATTCCTGAGTTTTCTTTAGCTAAATTATAATTTTCTTCTAAAAGTAATGTGGACAATTCATCATCTTTGATTGTTTTTTTTTTTAAAGTAAATATGAAGTTAATATAATCTAAGAATATGATAATTAGATAATTTTCTTAGTCAAAAAAAGCAGATTCATTGTCTTTCATTCTGTTTTTAGACAAACGTTTAGTCTATTGAGATTTAAATATATTATTATTTTATCTTCTGTGTAAGTGCATAAATCACAATCAATTTCTAATTCATCTTCGACTAATAGTTTAATTTTCTTGTTGAATATTATTTTTTAAAAGTTATTTTCTACCAAGATATCGCTTGGTAGAATATCTTCACTTTTTTTTCTTGTCAAATCAATATCACAGATTTCCAAAATATATAAATAAATCTTTATTGGTAAGATTAAGGAAGTGATTCTAGTGGTACCTTCTTTAACATTTATTTGGAAATTTTGATTTACATCATCATGATGAAAAGTTTCGATTTCTAAATATACTGAAATATCATGTAGATAAAATTTTGTAAAAGGATCAAAATCTGCTTGAAAAGGTCTGAAAGCTAAGAATCTTTTGTACAGTAGACCAAAGTAATAAGTTCGGTTATTTTCAGTAATAGGACCGAATTCGATTTTAGTAATTTGTGATAAAGAAGGTCTTTTTGCTTCACACACATTTAGTTTTTCTTCATCTTTACACCATCCTACTCTACAACTAGTGGGTACTTTTTTTTTTGAAGGTGATTTTTTTGACAGTTTTATTTGTTTGGTGCATAGCATTTTTTATTTTTGTATCCACACGATTTACACTTTTTGATGGTTTTTTTCTTTCTTGTAATTGTTTTTGCAATTACTTTACGTGGTTTTGTTTTAGGTTTTATGGTTTTCTTGTTAGTTTGAGCCACTTTGTTTATATG